AAAAGGGGGGGTTCCCCGCATCCAATCCCAGTCCCTTCCTCCCGGATCCACAGCCCCGGCGCCGTATCCCACTGGGATAAACTGGGAAACGAGCCGGGGCGTTAAGGTCGTGTTTTCCTCCCCCTGATTGCAGCAACAATTCTTCCCATCAAGGATTATTCCGGGAAAGGGCAGGACTTCTTTTTTATTATTATTTTTTTAATTTATTGTGATTTTTTTTTTCCCCTCTCACCGGAGGGGAGGGGACAAAAAAACCCAAGCGGGGGCCGCTCCTGGGGAATCCCCCACCCGAGGGAGGGAGGGGGGTGCTGACTCACCCCTTTGGGGGGGGCTTCCTTCTTTTTTGGGGGGGTTGGCTGAGTGAAAACGGATGGTTTGTCAGGAAAACACCGATGTGGGGGAGGGGGACGGGGGGGGTGACACACACACACTGTGGGAATGCACCAGCTGGGGACAGCTGGTTTTGGCATGTGACCCCCCCCAAAATCCGCCCCCCCGGCCACGGATTTCCGGCTGAAAGCTTCCAGCTGGATGGGGGATGGATGGACGGACGGATGGACACGGATCCTGCCCCCCCTCGGGCAGGGAGGGGACCCCCATGGCTGTCCCCATCCCCAGTACGGGGGGGGAGAAGGTTGAGGGGCCCCTCATGGCTGTCCCCAGCTCCAGTATGGAGGGGGGAGAAGGTTGAGGGGCCCCTCATGGCTGTCCCCAGCTCCAGTATGGAGGGGGGAGAAGGTTGAGGGGCCCCTCATGGCTGTCCCCAGCTCCAGTATGGAGGGGGGAGAAGGTTGAGGGGCCCCTCATGGCTGTCCCCAGCTCCAGTATGGAGGGGGGAGAAGGTTGAGGGGCCCCTCATGGCTGTCCCCAGCTCCAGTATGGAGGGGGGAGAAGGTTGAGGGGACCCTCATGGTTGTCCCCATCTCCAGTATGGTCAGAGAGAAGGTTGAGGGGACCCTCATGGTTGTCCCCATCCCTAGTATGGAGGGGGGAGGAGGTTGAGGGGACCCTCATGGTTGTCCCCATCTCCAGTATGGTCAGAGAGAAGGTTGAGGGGACCCCCATGGTTGTCCCCATCTCCAGTACAGGGGGGGAGAAGGTTGAGGGGACCCCCCAGGCTCATCCCCATCCCACCAAGGGGAACAGACGATCAAGGGGACCCCAAACTTGTCCCTGTCTCCAGGATGGGAGGGGGGGGAAGGTTGAGATGACTCCCCCGGGGTTGACGGAGGTGGGGGGAAATTGGGGAACCGTGGCCGGGCAAGGAGAAGCCACACAGTCCCCCAACTTCTCCTTTAGCTGTGGGAAGCGGGTGCCCCCCCCGAGGGGGGCAACCTTCTCTCTGACCATACTGGAGATGGGGACAACCATGGGGGTCTCCTCAACCTTCTCCCCTCTCCATACTGGAGATGGGGACAACCATGGGGGTCTCCTCAACCTTCTCCCCTCTCCATACTGGAGATGGGGACAACCATGGGGGTCTCCTCAACCTTCTCCCCTCTCCATACTGGAGATGGGGACAACCATGGGGGTCTCCTCAACCTTCTCCCCTCTCCATACTGGAGATGGGGACAACCATGGGGGTCTCCTCAACCTTCTCCCCTCTCCATACTGGAGATGGGGACAACCATGGGGGTCTCCTCAACCTTCTCCCCTCTCCATACTGGAGATGGGGACAACCATGGGGGTCTCCTCAACCTTCTCCCCTCTCCATACTGGAGATGGGGACAACCATGGGGGTCTCCTCAACCTTCTCCCCTCTCCATACTGGAGATGGGGACAACCATGGGGGTCTCCTCAACCTTCTCCCCTCTCCATACTGGAGATGGGGACAACCATGGGGGTCTCCTCAACCTTCTCCCCTCTCCATACTGGAGATGGGGACAACCATGGGGGTCTCCTCAACCTTCTCCCCTCTCCATACTGGAGATGGGGACAACCATGGGGGTCTCCTCAACCTTCTCCCCTCCCCATACTGAGGATGGGGACAACCATGGGGGTCCTCTCAACCTCCTCCCCTCCCCATACTGAGGATGGGGACAACCATGGGGGTCCCCTCAACCTTCTCCCCCCTCCATACTGGGGATGGGGACAACCATGAGGGTCCCCTCGACCTCCTCCCCTCCCCATACTGGGGATCGGGACAGCCATGGGCGTCCCCTCAACCTTCTCCCCCCTCCATACTGGGGATGGGGACAACCATGGGGGGCCTCTCAACCTTCTCCCCCCTCCATACTAGGGATGGGGACAACCATGGGGGTCCCCTCAACCTTGTCTCCCACCATACTGGGGATGGGGACAACCATGGGGGTCCCCTCAACCTTCTCCCCCCTCCATACCGGAGATGGGGACAACCATGGGGGTCCCCTCAACCTTGTCTCCCACCATACTGGGGATGGGGACAACCATGGGGGTCCCCTCAACCTCCTCCCCAGCCGTGCCAGGGACGGGGATGAGTCTTGGGGTCTTCTTGACCTTCCTCCTGCTGTGCCAAGCACAGGGACAAGCCCAGGAGTCCCCTCAACCACCGTGCCAGGGATGGGGATGAGTCTTGGGGTCTTCTTGACCTTCCTCCTGCTGTGCCAAGCACAGGGACAAGCCCAGGAGTCCCCTCAACCACCAAATGCCCCCTTCTCAACCCCCCATTTTCTCCTGGCAGGGCAATTGGATGCCTCCTTTGAGGTGTGGATGGAGCCAAAGGAGCCGCTGGTGGAATACGGGGGCTCGTTGAGGTTGAAGCTGAAGACGACGTGCGAGGCCCCCGATGCAAGCGGCAACATTGAGACGTCGCTTCGGAAGATGTTGGGGCCATCAGGGCCGAAGGAGACGGTGGTGGATCTCCTCAACGTCACCGAGTGGAACTCCAGCGTCCAAGGCTTCTACAACTGCTACCAGGATAGGATAGTGGTGACCACCAAACTCACCGTCTACCGTAAGGCACCGAGGGGGGAGAAGATGGTGGGGTTGGGGGGTCACCTCCCATCCCGACACATTGGCATCGTCCCCGTAACACCCGTGTTTCTCCCCAAGGAGCTCCAGAGCTGGTGGTGCTGGAGCCGGTGCCGGCGTTGGAGGTGGGGAAGAGCCAGGAGGTGAAGTGCCGCGTGACCGGCGCGGCGCCGGTGAGGAAGCTGGTGGTGACCCTGCGGCGGGGCGATGAGACGTTGAGCACCAAGACCTTCCCCGAGCACAAGGGGGACAAGCCGGAGGTGGTGTTGGTGACCCACCAACTGACGGCACAGCGCCGGGACCACGGGCACAACATCACTTGCCAAGCACTACTGGACCTGGCACACCACGACCCACGCCTCAACGTCACCTCTGAGCCCCAGATGTTGACCGTCTACGGTAAGACCGGCACCGGCACCTCACCGGTGTTGTCTCCACCATGGACGTGGCAACCAGCTCATCCCTGGGGGTGTTTCTCTCCGGTGGCAGAATTCCCAGAGGACCCCGAGATGGAGCCTGACATCTACCTGGAGGTCGGCGAGAAGGTGAAGGCCACTTGCGCCGTCGGCGACGTCTTCCCGGCGCCGCTCTTCAAGCTGGACCTTGCCAACCAGACCCTACCGCTCTCCATCAGCCAGGATGGCCACCGGGCCACCGCCGAGGTGGCCCAGAGCCAGCCAGGAGACTTGAGGTTGGTTTGCACCGTGAGTGTGGGACCGGTGGAACGGAGGAAGGAGGCGACCGTCCACGTCTACCGTGAGTAGTAACGATGGCGACACCGGTTGCGTGTTGGTTGGTTGCATCCTGGTGGCATCACCTGGTGATGTCCCCATCACCCCACAGGTTTCCCCTCGCCGCTGTTGAACCTCAGCACCCCCAGCTTGGCAGTGGGCACGGAGGTGGAGGGGCTCTGCCATTTGCCACCCGGCCATTCCACCGAGCTCCGGCTGCGGATCCGCGTCGGCCACCGCGTCCTGGTGCCCTGGGGACCATCCCCACTGTCCTTCAACCTCACGGCGCAGGAGGAACATCATGGAAAGGAGTTGAGCTGTGATGCCCAACTATTGGACGGTAGCAAAGCACCAAGGAAGACCAAGACCATCCGGCTCAACATCACCGGTGAGGACCATCGTCCCGGCTCCATCCCGGGGTGGAATTTGCCCCAAAAAGGGGAAATTTCCCAATGGGAATTAATTTCTTGTCCTTCTCCACGTTCTTCCTGCAGCCGGACCCCGGATGGACAATGAGAGCTGCCCCCCCAGCCAGAACTGGACAGAGGGGCAGGAGGAGACCCTGAAATGCAGGGCACAGGGCAACCCCCCACCCCACATGGAGTGTGCCAAAAACGGGGAGTCCTTCCCCGTTGGGGTCCCGCACCCCGTCACCCGCACCCACGCCGGCACCTACCGCTGCAGGGCCACCAACCCGCTGGGGACAGCCGTCCGGACCATCACCATCTTCGTGCACTGTGAGTGGGGACAGGAGGTTGAGGGGTCCTGGTGGTCTCAGGGGGGTGCCAATGGTCTCAAGGGTCCTAGGGGCTCCTGGGGGTTCATGGAGATCCTGGGGCTCCTGGTGGCTTTGGGTTTCCTGGGAGTCTTGGGGGTTCCAGGGATCCTGAGGGTCTTGGAGATCTTGAGGAGTCTTGGGTGTCCTGGTGGTCTCAGGAGTCCCAGGCATCCTGGGGATTCTGAGGGTCTTGGGGGTCCTGGGGGTCCCAGGGGTCCTTAGGGTCTGGAGGGTCCTTGTGGTTTTGGTGGTCTCAGGGGTCCTGGGGGTCCTTGTGGTTTTGGGTTTCCTGGGAGTCTCGAGGGTTCTGAGGTCCCAGAGGGTCTTGGGCTTCCTGAGTGTCCTGGGGGTCCCAGGGATCCTGGTGGTCCTGGGGGTCTTAGGTGCCCTCAGGGTCTTGGAGGTCCCGGAGAACCCAGAGTTCCTGGGGGTCTCAGGGGTCCTGGTGATCCTGGGGATCTTGAGGGTCCTGAGGGTCTCGGGGGTCCTGGTGGTCTTGTAGGTCCTGGAGATCCTAAGTTCCTGGGGGTCTTGGGGGTCCTGAGGGTCCTGGGGGTGCTGGTGGTCCTGGAGGTCCCAGAGTTCCTGGGAGTCTTGGTGGCCCTGGGGGTCTCAAGGGTCTTGGAGGTCCCAGAGTTCCTGGGGGTCTTGGTGGCTCTGGGGGTCTCAAGGGTCTTGGAGGTCCCAGAGTTCCTGGGAGTCTTGGTGGCCCCGGGGGTCTCAAGGGTCTTGGAGGTCCCAGAGTTCCTGGGGGTCTTGGTGGCCCTGGGGGTCTCAAGGGGGTCCCAGAGGGACGATGGGGGCTCAGCACCACTGACCACCCATCCCCGCTCTCTGGCAGACCACGACCCTGACCTGCTGCTCCTGGTGGTGCTACCACTGGTGGTGGTGGCCGCGTTGGTGGCCGCGGGGGTGGCCTACGGCATCTACTACCGCAAGAAGAAAATCCGGGAATACCGGCTGCAGCAACGGCAGAAGCAGCTACAGATGAAGTCGCCGCGGCCACCGGGATCCTCGGAGGAAACGGCCGCGCTCAACGGTTCGGCGTTGGAGGGTCAACCATAACTGGGACGGGACGGTGGAGGGACCACGGGCAAGTTGTCCCGGCTGCTGGCTCCCTCCTACTGGTGTGACGGTGACACGGGGGACCGCGGTGGGATGGTGGAGGCTACGGTGAGGCAATGCCACCGCTGTCACCGCAGGAAGGTGATGGCTCCTGGATGGGGACATGCCATGTTGGCACGCGGTTGGGATGCCGGAGGGGCATCCAGCCTCAACGTAGTGGAGAAGCTCCTTTTCTCTCCAAACTTCATCCCTTGGGAGACTCCAAGCTGGTGACACCGGAGCCGGGGGAGCTTGTTGCCCCAGAGGGGGCTGAATCCCAGGATTTTGGTGCCCAGGTGGCATCGGCACCGGTTGGGCGAGGAGGGAGATGCAGCCGCCGGAGAGACTGGAAGACGCCGTGGCGACTGGAACGCGACGGGTTGCACCAATAAAGGCTGTCGACGGCATCGCCGGGGGGTTTGGTTGGGGTTGGGGGCAACCAAATCGCCGGGGAGGTTGGTTGCCAGTAGATGGGGTCATAGAATCACAGAACCTTCTAGGTTGGAAGGGACCTTCAAGATCATCTTGTCCAACCATCAACCTAATTTTGACCAAAATAAAGCCCCACGCAACGAACAAAAAGCAACACCATCACCAAACCCTATCTTCCAGCACCACATCAACCCGTCTTCTGAACATCTCCAGGGATGGGGCCTCAACCACCTCCTTGGGCGGTTGTCCTCCTTGGGACATTCCAATGTCTGACAACCCTTTCGGTGAAAAAATGTTTCCTAATATCCAGCCTGAACCTCCTCTGGCCCAACTTGAGGCCATTTCCTCTAGTGATAAAATCATCATAGAATCATCTGGGTCGGAAGGGACCTTCAAGGTCATCTAGTCTGACCCCCCCCGCAGTCAGCAGGGACACCCCCAACTAGACCAGGTTGCCCCATCGAGCCTCTCCTTGAATATCTCCAGGGATGTGGCCTCAACCACCTCCCTGGGCAACCTGTTCCAGGGCTCCACCACCCTCACAGTCAAGAACTTTCTCCTCATCTCCAACCTCAATCTGCTTTTCTCCAGTTTAAAGCCATTTCCCCTCGTTCTGTCACTACAGACCTTTGGAAACAGGTTCTCCCCAACCTTCCTGTAGCCCCTTCAGATCCTGGAAGCTGCTCTAAGGTCTCCCTGGAGCCTCCTCTTCTCCAGGCTGAACAACCCCAGCTCCCTCAGCCTGTCCTCGGAGCAGAGGTTGCTCCATCCCCCTGATCATCCTTGTGGCCCTCCTCTGGACCTGCTCCATCAGGTCCATCTCCTTATATTGAGGGCTCCAGACTTGCATTTGCTCTTGTAGAACCTCCTGAGGTTCACCTGGACCCACCTCTCCAGCCTGTCCAGGTCCTTTTGGATGACCTCCCATCCCTCTGGTGGATGGACACCACCACACAGCTTGGTGTCATCCCCAAACCTGCTGATGGTCTCTACACCCTCCTTTCAGGGAGTTGTGGAGAGCAAGAAGGTCTCCCTGGAGCCTCCTCTTCTCCAGGCTGAACACCCCCAGCTCCCTCAGCTTCTCCTCACAAGACTTGTGCTCCACACCCCCCCTCACCATCGTCGTTGCTCGCGCCGAGCATGCGCCGCGAGGCCCAAACCCCACTTCCTTCCTCCTGCCGCCATTTGCCCACCGCCTCCCGGCGCCCGCGGTTGCCACCGGGGGACGGTGCCGGGATGAAGGATGGAGACGGCCGTCGCGGTGAGGGTTGGGTGAAGATTCGCCCCTGAGACGGGTCTCCCCCCACTTCCCGACCCCCTCTTCCCCCCCCCAAAGCCTGGAGATCCCAAGTTCCTGGTGGTCTTGAGGGTCCTCCAGGTCTGGGGTGGTGGGCTCTGGCTTCTGCTCCCGTCTTGGTGGCTCGTGGTGTGGCAATGTCCCGGCGTGGCCACCATGCCTGGTGTCTCACTGGGTTCCTCCTGGCTCTGTGCGGTGAGTGGGACATCCTCTGCCCCCCAACCCGGCTGGGGACACCCCCTCTGTCCCAGCTTGTCCCCCCTGTACCCTGACCCACCTCCCCCGGGATGTCCCCTGTGTCCCAGCTGGGGCCCCTGCACCCCAACCCAGCTGGGGACATCCTGTGTGTCCCTGCTCATCCCACCTTCCCCCCAACCCAACTGGGGACATCCTGTGTGTCCCTGCTCATCCCACCTTCCCCCCAACCCAACTGGGGACATCCTGTGTGTCCCTGCTCATCCCACCTTCCCCCCAACCCAACTGGGGACATCCTGTGTGTCCCTGCTCATCCCACCTTCCCCCCAACCCAACTGGGGACATCCTGTGTGTCCCTGCTCATCCCACCTTCCCCCCAACCCAACTGGGGACATCCTGTGTGTCCCTGCTCATCCCACCTTCCCCCCAACCCAACTGGGGACATCCTGTGTGTCCCTGCTCATCCCACCTTCCCCCCAACCCAACTGGGGACATCCTGTGTGTCCCTGCTCATCCCACCTTCCCCCCAACCCAACTGGGGACATCCTGTGTGTCCCTGCTCATCCCACCTTCCCCCCAACCCAACTGGGGACATCCTGTGTGTCCCTGCTCATCCCACCTTCCCCCCAACCCAACTGGGGACATCCTGTGTGTCCCTGCTCATCCCACCTTCCCCCCAACCCAACTGGGGACATCCTGTGTGTCCCTGCTCATCCCACCTTCCCCCCAACCCAACTGGGGACATCCTGTGTGTCCCTGCTCATCCCACCTTCCCCCCAACCCAACTGGGGACATCCTGTGTGTCCCTGCTCATCCCACCTTCCCCCCAACCCAACTGGGGACATCCTGTGTGTCCCTGCTCATCCCACCTTCCCCCCAACCCAACTGGGGACATCCTGTGTGTCCCTGCTCATCCCACCTTCCCCCCAACCCAACTGGGGACATCCTGTGTGTCCCTGCTCATCCCACCTTCCCCCCAACCCAACTGGGGACATCCTGTGTGTCCCTGCTCATCCCACCTTCCCCCCAACCCAACTGGGGACATCCTGTGTGTCCCTGCTCATCCCACCTTCCCCCCAACCCAACTGGGGACATCCTGTGTGTCCCTGCTCATCCCACCTTCCCCCCAACCCAACTGGGGACATCCTGTGTGTCCCTGCTCATCCCACCTTCCCCCCAACCCAACTGGGGACATCCTGTGTGTCCCTGCTCATCCCACCTTCCCCCCAACCCAACTGGGGACATCCTGTGTGTCCCTGCTCATCCCACCTTCCCCCCAACCCAACTGGGGACATCCTGTGTGTCCCTGCTCATCCCACCTTCCCCCCAACCCAACTGGGGACATCCTGTGTGTCCCTGCTCATCCCACCTTCCCCCCAACCCAACTGGGGACATCCTGTGTGTCCCTGCTCATCCCACCTTCCCCCCAACCCAACTGGGGACATCCTGTGTGTCCCTGCTCATCCCACCTTCCCCCCAACCCAACTGGGGACATCCCGTGTGTCCCTTCTCATCCCATGTGTCCCTTCTCATCCCACATGTCCCTTCTCATCCCACTTTCACCCCAACCCAACCGGGGACATCCCATGTGTCCCTTCTCATCCCACCTTCACCCCAACCCAACCGGGGACATCCCGTGTGTCCCTGCTCATCCCACCTTCAACCCAACCCAGTTGAGGACATCCCATGTGTCCTAACTCATCCCGTATGACCCCAGCTCAACTCACCTTCACCCCAACCCTTCTCCCCACCTCATCCTGTGCATCCCAGCTCATCCCACACCCCCTTGGCCATTCCATTCCAGGACCCCCCACCCACTCCTTCGAGGTAAAGGTGGAGGGAACCTCCTCGGAGGTGGGCTACGGTGGGACGGTGCTGCTCAACTGCTCCAGCACCTGCCCCGACGAGAACGCACTTGGGGGGCTGGAGACCTCCCTCAGCAAGGAGTTGGTGGCCCAGGGGCCACGTTGGTTTAGCACCCGGCTCTACAACATCACCGAGTCCCACTCCGAGGTCTTCTGCTACTTCTCCTGCTTCGGGGAAAGGAAGATGGTGGCTTTTAGGGTGCTGGCTTACGGTAAGAGGCTGCTCAGGTCCTTCCCCTGGGACTTTCCTGGTGGACAAGGGACCAGGGATGGGGGGATGTGGGAAGGGGGTAGGGATGCGCTGGATCTGGGGAGCCACCACCCCTGGATGAGCAGCGGGATGGGGCAAACAGGGATGGAGCTGGGGATGTGATTGGTCCAGGGCTGGGAGATGTTGGGATGAGTTGGATTCCGGATCCAGCAATGGGTCCCAGGGGTGGAGGAGCTTGGGATGAGCTGGGTCCTGGATCTGGCAATGGGTCCCAGGGGTGGGAGAGCTTGGGATGAGCCTGGAGATGGATCCAGTAATGGACTCCAGGGGTGGAGGAGCTTGGGATGAGCCAGGGGATGGATCCAGCAATGGACTCCAGGGGTGGAGGAACTTGGGATGAGCCTGGAGATGGATCCAACAATGGGTCCCAGGAGTGGGAGAGCTTGGGATGAGCCTGGAGATGGATCCAGCAATGGACTCCAGGGGTGGAGGAGCTTGGGATGAGCCTGGAGATGGATCCAGCAATGGACTCCAGGGGTGGAGGAGCTTGGGATGAGCTTGGAGATGGATCCAGCAATGGATCCCAGGGATAGGAACCACTTTGGGATGAGCCAGGGGATGGATCCAGCACCGCTTGGGCAGGATCCCCTTTGGGATGACCCAAGACCTTGGGTACCATCTTCCCCCACCTCTCCCGGCCGCAGAATTCCCCCAACCTCAGGTGTCCATCAGCCACCCCAACACCTCCTACAACCAGACGGTGACCATCGAGTGCTCCTCGGAGCCCAGCTGGCCCCCAGGGCTGAAGCTACGGCTCCATGGAAGCCCCTTGGACCCCCCGACCTGGAAGGAGGGTCCCGTGCGCGAGGAGCTGACGGTCAAGGAGGAACATGATGGAGCCGAGTTCTTCTGCGAAGGACAGCTCAGTCTGGGCAACCAGACCCTGCAGAAGAGCTCGCCCGTGGCCACGCTGCGTGTCACCTGTGAGTGTGCAAAACCCCTCAATCCTGGTGCAAAATCTCTTCTTCCCCCCATGGAAAAACCCTCAGTCCCCTGGAAAACCCTCCTGCCGTGGGTCTCAGCCCCGTGCAAACCCCTTCTGTCCTCGTGCAAAACTCCCCAGCCTTGGGGGTCCTGGAGGTCCAGAGTGTCTCAGGGGTCCTGGGGGTCCCAGAGATTCCATGGGTCCTGGGGGTCTTGGGGGTCCTTGAGGTCTTGGAGGTCTTGGTGGCCTTGGGGGTCCTGGAGGTCCAGAGTGTCTCAGGGGTCCTGGGGGTCCCAGAGATTCCATGGGTCCTGAGGGTCTTGGTGGTCCTGGAGGTCTTGGAGGTCTTGGTGGCCTTGGGGGTCCTGGAGGTCCAGAGTGTCTCGGGGGTCTTGGGGGTCCTGGAGGTCTTGGAGGTCTTGGTGGCCTTGGGGGTCCTGGAGGTCCAGAGTGTCTCAGGGGGCCTGGGGGTCCCAGAGATTCCATGGGTCGTGGGGGTCTTGGGGGTCCTTGAGGTCTTGAGGGTCCTGGAGGTCCAGAGCATCTCAGGGGTCCCAGAGGTGCCAGAGATTCCATGGGTCCTGGGCGTCTTGGGGGTCCTTGAGGTCTTGGAG